TATATATATATATATATATATATATCGGTTTTTAATAACAATCGCGATTCATATATTTGTCATATAGTTTCCATACTTATTGATATCTTATATATATATATATTAATCTGTTGTCTCGCCGTATAATTAGAAATTGTATAATTAGAAATTTGATTCAAGATAAACTGGACACTTGTTTTATATATTTTGCCTAACATAGAGATGCAGCATATTTTAATTTCTATTATTTTTATCTATATATAGTTCTCCAAAGAATAAATGAAATGTTAAAAATATTTTTAGAAAAACATGAAGACAAGTGTGAGGTACAAATAACTTGTAGATTTCAAAGATAAGTACCACAATAGTGTATGTGTGTGTGTGTGTGTGTGTGTGTGTGTGTGTATATATATATATATATATACACATAAATATATATACATATATACACGCGCGCGCGCCCACACACACACACACACACTGTATATGTATATGTGTGTGTGTGTGTGTGTGTGTGTGTGTGTGTGTGTGTGTGTGTGTGTGTGTGTGTATAGTACACTCTTTTATTTTCGTTATAAATACTGCACTATGTATTGTTCAGTTTTCGAATTAACTAATTATATTGCGATTGCATTCTTACTTTCTATTTTCATGATAGTGTCACAGTATGTATACATTTTCCATTCTTTATTACATTTTCTTAATCGTAATTATGCTGTGAAAAATTGTGTTGCATAAAAAATTGTTATATTCTAGGACATTACATCAAGCTTTTTTTGCCTATCATTATGTCCTTTTATCTTATTTCGCAAAATTCGGAACACTGGTTAAAAAAGGATTGTAATCATTTAATGTCTCTTGCACACTAAAAACCAAAACGGGGAAATTCACTGAACCAAGTCTTTTTCCTTCGATCACACACTTATAACTTTATCTGAACAGTCGGATTGATATATAATCTCTCGTTTGAACTCGTTCACATTCACGATGGACAGACACCAATTGTGATAGATTGAATTTGCTAGAAAAATCAGCATCAATTTTACAAGTCAATATAACTTTGGCATTTGCTTTAGGTTACGCAACGTAATTGTATTGATTTGCGTTGTCCTTGTCTCGTTCCATATAGTCTCTATCTATAAGAGACTCAATCCGTTTTTTCAAATCCGCAGGCTGAAAAAGGATACATATTCTATGAATTGGCATAAAAAAACATACATTATACTCAATACAGTATTTACAAATTAGGATTCTACACATTATTTAGATTGCACATTTAAGCATGGTTATATAAATGAATATTATTTTTCTAATAATAGCATACATAACATTTTAGATCGAAAAACAATGGTATTTTACATCTTGTTTTCTTATAAAAAAATTGTGTGTGTGTGTGTGTGTGTGTGTGTGTGTGTATATATATATATACCTTTACAGGAAACTTCAATTGATTATACAGTTCACTGATGAGAAGATTATGGGTCAGAGTTTTTCTCATTTTCATAATTCTAACGATAGCAGCGTCTATTTGATATTGTCTGTCTTGATATACTCTTTCTTCTGTTGCTTTCTGTTCTTCATTCTGAAAAAAATTCATTTATATCTATAAGAATAAAAAATCTATTAAATTTTATATTAAATAACATAAATCTTTTATACAAACACATGTATAAAATAAAAGATATATTGCATTATTAAATGTCAAGTACCGTTTCTTTCATTTGAATTTGATTGATCTTAATCCTGAACAGTTTGTTTGTGAATTCTGCGTTAAATACGAATCTATCGTTATCAGCGACATCTCGACCACGCGGATTCTTTTGAAGAACACGAGCCTTTCCACATGCCAAGGATTGCAGTGTTCTTCTCAGTTCACCGTCCTCGATATTTGTAGCAGTTTTAATATCTTCTAACGAGAGGTTATCACTATCATTGAATAGAATTAAAACCAATGCTTGAAACAATGATACTTGTAGCTCTTTATTACCCTATTTTCATATCAAAAATATCTGTGCATTAGTTAATAATTATATATCATGTTACATAAGAATCACTTTATCACTTTATCACTTTATTCAATACCTGGTTAAACCATGCTTTTAATACACAGTGTCCTAAGGTTGGTTGCCACTGCAATTTTCTACCGCTATGTTTTCCCAAATAAAATTTATTAAACACATCTTGATATTGTACCATCTCCATCGGTAGAGTGACTTCCATCACTGGATATGTAGGCCAATATCCCATAGTAAGTATAGATACAGTTAGGTCTAGGTTATTTGCCACTAATTCACTCTGCAAGTTTCCTGCATACTGAAGCCATAATAAATATTTGAAATAATATACTCTGTAAACTTAATGTATAAATTATACAACAAATGTATATGATCAGGAACAATAAAGTTCCTGAACTGTAGTAATAAAAAACACAGACATGCCAAACAATAAAATGTTATATTTTTTTAAGTGAAATAGACGAGAAATATTTAAACATAACTAAGAGAGAAAAATGTCTTTTTCAATCAAAGTAAGTCTTGATGATTAGTAGTGTTCATATATGAATATACAAATATAATTTTTAATTACAATTTGTTAAATTGATAGTGTAATTGTGAAATTATTATTACATGACTGTATTTCAAATCCAAAAAACAGAATCGGTGCGCAATCTATGGAACTGAAACTTATATTTGTATATTTACACATGAATATTACTAAGTATCAAGATGTTCTGAAAGATATTCTTCTTATTTGTATTATATTTTATCTTTCAAAGTAATTAAATTCCTTAATCAATACATTTTATATATCTTTGAAACAAAGTAAATATTTTTTTAAGTCTGTAGTTGGAATGCTGTTTAGAGAACTCGTTACATTCCTTTGAATGTCCTCGACATCTTGAAAATGTTTATCTTTGATGTTGTCTTCAAAGCTCAAAAACATCATGAAAAATAAACATTTTCAAAATATCGAGAATATTCAAGAGGAATATGAGTGCTCTGAATAATACTCTAACTAAGACTTTAAAAAAAGTTTTAAGGCTTTCTATTAAAGATGCGTGAAATGTATTCATGTCATGGGAGGCTATTTTGATAAAATCAGAATTGATAAAATATATTTTAAACATATTTTAAACATTTTTTATAATATATACTATTCAAAACATTAAAAACATGTGTGTTTAAAAAAGAAATGTTATATAAAAAAAAAAAAAAAAATTAGTCTTTGTCAACCTTGGATAAAATGTAACAATCTATTATTTGAAGTGCCTATTTTTACTACTGCAGTTCGGGAACTTTATTGTCAGATCACGTATATTCATAAGTATTTTATACATTCAATACTAAATATACAAACTTTACAAATTAAGTTTAACGTGTTTGCATGTGTAAGTATGTATAACACAAAGTTTCATAATGTACGAATAATTACTTTCCTTACCTGTTTGAATGCAATATTAATATCTTTACTAAGTTCCATATCTTTAAACATTCCTTCCAATTTACTAGTAAATCCACCACCACATTCTTGTTTTAATTTAGATAACATTGATTTTTCCGCGTCTACAGAAGCCGATTTTCCCACTAACAAACGTTTGGCTAAATCCTTCTTATAAAACGCTTCGAAAACATCCTTTCCATGAATAAATCGAAAGAGTACCATAATCTTATCTAATAATCTTTCTAATTCTTCTTCCGTCGCTTCTTTATTACCTGCTCGTAACTTACAGTCGACAAATTTAGCTGAAATCAATATAGTTGTTTTTAATCTGTTTTGGTATATTTTTAAATTTAAGAATACTTTTAAATTAACAATATGACTAAG